CAGCAGGAACCTTCCTATTATTGATAGCAGATGGGACAGAGTGGCACCTTATAGTCTAACTTGTTCAGAGAGTCATAAGCCTTAGTCTACTTTGTCGGCATCTGTTGAAGTAGGCTGTAGCCTATGAAAGTTCATGCCTCTCTGAATGAATTAATTTATAAGGAACCACCCTTCTCTGCCTTCTGCCCAACTTCTAACTAACATGGCTACCTACCTCTCTCATCCTAGTATTGCATAATTGACCTCTCCCAGTACTAGTCATTTCAGACAAGTTGTATTCTGGCATGCCCGCTGAGTACAGAGGAACAAGAATACTGCATTCATGAAGTGTCATGAAACTGCTGAATGGACAATATAGGAGTTAACGGGAAGTAATTCTAACTGAATAAGCCAGATTTTCTCCTGAGGATGGCTGCGATGACATGGCCATACTGCATCTCTCCTGCTAAAACCTTGACTTAAAAGTCCTAATCTGTCCCTCAGCATTCTGGTATTAATAAAAATTACTATAATATCCCATAGTTAGCCTTCAAACATGGAAAAAGATTTAAGTGCAAGCTTACTTTTAGGTATAAAATTGGTATAGTTGATATACAGTGAGTGCATCTATATAGGGCGCTGACCACACAGCAGCCAAATAATACTGTGCAGTAGCATCACAGAACTCACAGCACTAATACACTACTGCACAGTATTATTAAGCTACTGCACAGTAGCAACACCTAAAGACTTTTGCCGGTGCTACTGTGCAGTAATTCCAGTTACCGCGCATTTATTTGGTATTTGGTTATACAAGTACTAAATCATGTAAATGCACTGAGTATGTATTTAAATACAGTATTTGCTTTGTTGGACTGGGCCCTTACTTTTCAACTTACTAAAGCTTGCAAATGTTATTTTCTATGGAGTGCTGGACTATTATTGAAGAACGCTACCTTTCATAAGAAACAAACATCTTCAGAACATTCCCCACCTTGATTTGCTGAAGAGGTCTCTTCTTTTTTTGGCTTGGGTTGTGGTGGGTCTGGGTCGAGTGGGTTTTCTTCCATCTCATTTGTTTTTTGTGCTTTTTGCTTATTTCTCTTTTTGTTTTCTTCAGCTTGCTGATAAAAAGGGGGACAGATAAATCCTTTAATTACTGAATTGTGACCTTACTGTTTAAGAACCAGAAGCAATATTATTGCTCTCCTTGTAGTATACTTACCATCTGTAGCTTCTTTTTGAGCTCCAAGTTAGCCTCCTTGTAGCTTTTGGATGTAGCATTGAGATAATAGATACCCAAGCTAAATAAAAAGAAAATGAATATGTTGTTTGGTAATGATTTCACCACTCTAGCATTCATAACAAGTTCATATAACAATAACTAGATGTCTCTGTTCTAAAACGCATTAATGTGAGTAGCACAGCTTTTATTCTACTTCATTATCTTATTAATATTAGCATTTTGACAGTTCAATTATGTGCTTCTTCACAGAGAAAGGAAGTGCTTCTCTAGTTTAGATCCCATTATAGACCAACTGAAAAAATTACTATCTTTATTAAAATGCTTCATTTGGTTGTTATATTAGTTAAATACACAGCTCCACAAATCTGTGCTTCATTAATATGGGCGTTCTACAGAATAGCACTGTGAAAGATTTACAGTATAGTTTAAAAATTGGTAAATGTTTATATATAAAGTCCTTTAAACATACATAACAATATGCAAATTCAAGAACTACCAAGGAAGCCAACAAAGCCATGAAGGGAAAAGTATGCTCTTTACTCTAAACTGTAATTTTTTCCTAGCAAGAGAAAAAGACTGCCTGATGCAGTTTTTAAATATATAGCTGTATGTCTTTCAATGATGGTAGCAGTTTATAATGCTTTTAAGTGAAATAAGATCATATTTTGTCTTGTCTTCTCTGTTTTTCCTTGTCTTATATTATCTTTTTGTGTCATTGTTTTGGGCCATATTGCCTTGTTTTGGGATATAAGTAGTTCTCACTAGATCAGAGGGAACTAACCATATATTTCAGTGGGGCAACTGAAGCTCTTTGTCTTCTTATAAGGTTGCTCCATAGCATGATTTCAAATGGTCAGATTTAATGTCATCATTTCATTCTGTCTAGATAAGATCTCTCTGCAGTTTCTATTACATTCTATTATCTATTTTAAAACATTTTCAGTTTTACAAAGCAATATTTCACAGCACTTTAATGTTGTGCTTAATGATCCTATATGTCTGTTTATTAGTTGAACTTTGTATAGTCCTTCTTTGGGAACACAGGTACTAATCATTTGGAACAGTTGTGAATAAATTCCATTTTCCAGTCTAAACTTCAGCAAAGTGATTTTAAATGGAGATCTTACAGAACAACGGTATAGCCAACAATCATGGCAGTTATGTTGTACAACATGCTTCTCAGGCTGGCTTTATAACCAAAGAGTCAAGAATGGAAGTCTTGGGGGTCAGAGCTAATGATCTATTAAGGTCCCTTCTGACCCTGAGCACTATTAAAGTATGAAGCTATGAAGTCCTCTGTGCAGCCACTACCATCTATCTGCCTTCTACTTCTCACCCAGCATGGTAATTTTCCTGCTTTTCAGCCCTCTTCATTATTATGTAACTTTCTATATCCTCATTTGCTGGGGCAGAGTTCTACATCTTGGTAGAACAGTCATAAGCAGGGATTCAGGTTTTCCGTTTCCCATGGAAAAAACAGAGAAAACCACAGATTTTCCTTTTTTATCAGATAAATGTGGATTTCTCCTTTTAACAGGGATACCCACAGTTTCCCTGCTTTTGCAAACAGCTCTGCAGACTGGTTGAGCTCCAGCCTGCAAGAGCTGTTTGCAAACGGGGGGGAGGGGGGACCCCTAGCCCTGTCTGGAGGGGGAGGAGGATGGGGAGGGGAAGAGCAGGGCCTGAGGCTCTCAGTCAGCCATGGCTCCGCTCAGCTCAGCTTCACTCTTTTCCTGGAGCCTTAGGTAAGTGGAGCTTGCAGGGGGCTGGGGGTCCCTCTGGCAGGGCTGGGGGGTTGTGGGTCATAGCTGAGGGCACTGGCAGGGCTGGGAGGGATCCAGGAGTTGGCCCCAGCTCCATCCAAGCAGGCAGCTGCACTGGGGGAGTCAGCTCCATGCTGCTTCTGCTGCAGCTGCCTGCTGTTAGGGGCAGGGAGCTGCAGACTTGGGTCCCTGGCCCAATAGCCCTGGCAGCTGGGGCCCCCTACAGCAAGACTGGGGGGCAGGGGCTGTGGGGGGGGGCAAGATGCATGAGGAGGGTTGGGGGGCTGTTGTGGGGGCAGTGAGGGGCACCAGCAGGGCTGGGGGTGGCATTGTGGGGGAAGCGAGGAGCACCATCAGGGCTTGAGGTGCTTTAGGAGGCAGTGAGGGGCACCACGGGGCTGGGGGAAGCATTGGTGGGGTGAGGGGCATCAGCAGGGCTGGGGTGGGGGGCTGCATGGTGCTTTTAATTTTAATAATGGATTTGGGGGGGTTTATCAGAGAATTTGCCATTTTTGTCAGAGAATTTGTGATTTTTTTTTAATGAGAGAAAACCAGGATCCCTGGTTATAAGACTTCTCTTTAAAGATGCAAGTTTTTTGTGATATGCAATTCTACTAATAGACAGGCTGATCAAACTTACTGCATTTTAAGCCCCTCATAGTTTTTTTTGCATCTTAATGATTCTTGGCACTATGGTAACAAAAAGAAAGAGAACAGGAAGCCTGCCCTTTGTGCATATGCATATTAATTATGATCAAGCAGAAGGTTCATGAATTCTTCAAGTCCTTCACCACAGGGCAATCAGGACTGTGCTTGATTACTTTTCAAGTAGTCACATAGGGCTGTGGAGGCTCACAATAAAAGAAACTGAATAAAGAGTTGCATAGAAAAGCTTTGATTTAGGATACTGTACATACACCATGAGCAATATGAAGGGCAGAATCAATCCAGGGTTAGAGGCATAACCAAACACTTTTGCAAACCAGGAAGGGAAGTCATGCTCCAAGGTTTCTCCAATGACCTCGTACATTCTGGTTTTCCCACTATCAAAAGCAAAAGGTTACCACTGTTAAATGCAAAAGCTAACCATGCCCCAGCAATTCCAATGTAGCAGTATTAACATGTAGCTTTATCATAGTACATCTAAAGTCTTTATAGTTAAGGCCTTAGTAAGTGTCCCATACCACATTTATCTAATACATGTTTTCTTCCTACCCCATTAAAGCTAAGTTTGACTTGTAGCATTACTATAAATGTATCCTCCTTTAGTTACTCATATGGAAAAGAAGTTTTTCCATATGTGTAGCCTAAACTTTTCCTCAGCTAGTTTGTCCTCATCCTTCCATGGGGTGCTTTTCTGAAAAGTTGCTCTCCCTGATCCTGGTGTTCTTCCTTGACATATTTGTAGGCAGCTATTAAGTCACCCTTCAGCCTTCTTTTACCCAGACTGAACAAACCCAGATCCCAAAGTCTCTCCTCATAGGGCCTATCCCCCAGGACTTTGATCATGTGGGTGGCCTTTCTCTGCACCCTTATCCTGTTCTCCAAGGTCATGTAAGACCTGTCCCCTTTCAACTTTACTAATATCTTAAACCTATCACAAGGCTACAATGCTCAGATCTAGAAAGCACTGCTGAACTTGCATTAAATATTGCCTTTAAATATTACACACATTACACAATGTTTTGGCATGGTGCACTCTGGTGACTACAGCAAAGCAGATTAGAGAAGCACATTTCCAGTTATGTAATGGGTGTCTATTGGTTATATGAAAAAGAAGGTGGAACTTTCAGTGATAGGAAGGTATGACACAGGAAACAATGAAAAAACAATAAATTTCAGGCTCTTAAAGGATTAAATATCTAGGTCAAGAACAAATAGCAGATAAGAAGCTAAAGCAGTAACTTTTGTTCTCTCGGCTTTTTAAAAAAAAAAAAAACTTGCTGCAGCTCTTCTAGTATCTCCAATCTTATATCTGCACAATGTCTGAAACTGCAATTTTGCAAACTGGTCTCCAGATGTCGCCCTTTATGTTTCCTATAATATGACTTCATTAATGACAATCATTAGTCAGCATCACCAGCTTTGTTATCATCAGTTCCTTGAAATCTTGCCTCAGCATATTTTCTGGTGTGTCATGAATTTCCCTCACTTTGTGACTGGTCTCTGGTGGAGAACACCTCCTGAACATTTTGCCCGTAACCAAAGCAACTTTTTAGAGCTATGATGTTAAGACTTCTGTGCATTTACAAAAAGGCACTGGGGATTACGCAGAGATCACTTTACTTGTGACATTAATGTATTATTCAAGCTCTTCACTGGAAACAGGATGTCTTTTTTACTGCTCTCTTCTAACACTACTAACACATTTTTCAAGCAGATATCAAAGACGTAAACATTTTAAAATCTGTATTTCATGTGTCTAATTATTGCTTACTAATTAGACTCATTAGTCTAATATGTCACACTTAAAGCCAAACAGAAATGCTGACATTCTCTTCACAGATATTGCAAATATGTACAGTGTGGATCAGCAATGCAGTATTAGCTTCTGGATAAACATAGCTATTCTATCCTATATACTTCTTCAAAAAAAGTGTGTGGCTGCTTCAGGTTTTGGGTGCCAGTTTGAGATACCTGAAAGGGTCCATATTTTCTAAGTGGTCGGCACTTTCTGAAAATCCCCTGTAAAGTACTCAAACTGGGCACTCAAAAATGTGATACACCCACAAGTCACTTTAGTATCATAGTCAAAATGATCTACATTTTCTATTTATTCTTATGTCAGTATGCTTGGATTTACCCAAGCATACTGGGGGATATCATTCCCATCCACACCTAAAATAATTTATTTCCCTTGTTCTCAACAATGAGACTCTCAGCACCAGAAACAAATTCAATGCCACGCTTAAAATTACAGTTCCCAAAAGTGCTGAACCACTCTACAAAGAATGTCTGATCTTACCTATAGAAAAGCCCTAATAAGATCATCTAATTCACCTCTTGTCAGCACACAGCACCTCCTTACAGTGTGTTTCTAGAACTTCCTGAAATCCACCTGATCTCAAACAGGTAAAGCATGCATCTATAATGGATCGGTCCCCTACTCTTCACATATAAATTCAGATTTGATTACAAAAATAACAAGATTTTCATTTAGAAAAGCATTTCTATCCTACCAGCCATGTACTTCTTTGAAAATAACTAATAATTTCTCTAGGTCTTCATTAATCCTTTAAAGGTATAGTTCTATGCACAGATAAAGCCACATCAATGTCAACACCTAGTCCGAAACCTAATTTTAGCTGTCATGTCATTCATTGTAAACATTTATATGCTGAGATAACTTATCAGTTAATAAAATGATGCCTATAAAATGCAAAAGACCTGAATGGGCCACAGTCAAAAGATGGTGGGATAGAAACAACAGTGTACACAACAGGCAGCGTGGAGAGGAAGAGAATAAACAGCAGCATGGCCATGTAGAAGTTATTGGATCTGGAGGCTTTGAAGACCCTCTCCTGAGGGACATTACAGCACATCACAGCCCAGCACTGCAGGTACATGGAGGTGTGGAGACGAAATATGTTGATAGCTGGAAGGCACGGAGCATAAAAAGAACCCATCCTAGGAACACACAACAAAACATTCTGTTGTAAAATGTTAATAGCTCAACGTATACCACAGCCTTTCACCCCCATTGTGCTTTCATATCTCATTGTTTTATACCCACACACAGTACACAACAACCTCTAGCTCATAAAACATCATTTAAACCCCTTTTATTGGTCTTGACTCTTTGTTCTTCCCATTAGAACAAACTTACGACACATGGACAAAACACCCTTGTAATATGTTCCTTTCCATACCTTAAGGCACCCCTTTTCCTGCAAATGAATTTTAACCAATTCCTTAGTGAAATGTAAGCAACTTTCCTTTTCTCTCTCCCCTTTAAATGATTGTTTCATTCTCAAAGTAGCTCAGGTAGACTGTTATTTTTTGTAGGAAACAAGAAATGCCAATTTTTTTAAAGCATCTATGAGCACCCTGTTTGGATGACCATCATCCAGCTTATTCTTAATTATTCTATTATTGTTGGGTCTTATCAATTATTTTTTTTAACTATCTTCTGTCCTGATGCATATTTCACTTAAACTATGCCACAGTTATTCAATACCTGATTCTAATGAAAAACCTAAAGTTTCTGATAAAGGTTGGTTTTTACATACTGCCACATGATTATGACTTTAAAATGCTATGGACTTATTTAATTTTATCTGAACTTAGGACCTCAGAGCAGCAGAAGGAATAATTCCTTTCATTAGTATGGTCAAATCAAGGAGTACAGGTTGAGACTCAGTAAACCTGAGTTCTACTCCTGTGTCACTGGGCCATTAGATGATTTAGGCAAGTCACTTCTCCTTTGCATGCCTCAGTTTCCCTATCTTTATAATGGAAGTAAGTACCCTTATCTTGGTAGGAGGCACTTTGGGCTCTATGAAAGAGCAAGGTATTTGTATGATGATATTATGCCTCCATTCCCCCCACCACCCTTTCAATCTATACTTACTGGAGGAAAACACTTATGCACCTATGCTCACTACAATCAATTGCCAAAACTTTCACTGACTCCAGTAAGTTGAGGCTTAAACTAATTTGTGCCCATTAACATAATTTTTAGGCGTGATATTTATAGCAATGCAAAGGAAGTCATGCAGATGGCTTATTAATATGGAAATTCACATGAGGAGGCTTGCAGCCAACGCACTTTGCAGAACAAAAACCTTTAAAGAAAAAAAGGAAGAGGAATCTCCCGACGTGCCATACACATGCATATTTACAAATGTGCCCATGTTCAGGTGTCTCAATCCTCTGCAGACATAGGACAGACCCAACCCATGAGCTACACTAAAAGCTCTCAGCACTATATTTCTTTAGTAGGTATGCTCTCGGGTCCCTGCAGTATGTAGTGGCCAGGTCAATATGGAACCTCCACTTTATAGGATTAGTGCCTATGCTAGAAAGTGTATATTGTTACCATACAGCATAGAAATTTGTCATGTCTGTAGACATAATTAGAGAATAATCAAGAATCAACCCAATCTCATCCCTGATTTTCAACCACCTCCCAAGTGTTAATTAGGGTGACAGAATTTATGACTGCTATCAATGGTGCATAAACTTGTGAACACATGTTATGCTGCACCTGTATCATTCTGATGAACAGTGGAGTGAACGTGACAGAAATGTTACATGTTTATTGATTGGGAATGTCAGAATTTATACAGGAAACAACATACTGGGCACGTCTACACAAAATACTACGTCGAGACGCTCATTGCTACGACGACATAGTGTTGCTGGACATGAACCATAATGCCGATGCTACCGCACAGTAGCAGCTAAAAATAACCATACAGTGCAGTAACGCCAGTTATATGCTTAAGCAAGTACTAAATGACTTGCTCATGTAGAGGCAGTCACTGAGATCCAAGCCAATAACATAACGTGTTATGTCAATTCAGATCTCTGGCCCTTTGGATTTTTAATTCATGGACAAATTAACTGATGGGCAGAAGAGGTTCACATCTCTGTGACTCCATGATGTATCATATGATATCATCCTAACGCCATGAAATGCAGTATGAAATAGACAGGTTGTATCACAAGAACCACATTCAATATACAAATGTCCTGCTTATCCCAGATTTGTCAGCTGTGAGTGCTAAGAGATAAAGGTCTGTTCTAGGTGTTTGGGTGGCTAGAAAAGCAGATATAATTGGGATGCCATAATGCAATAGAGCAGTGGTGCTCAGCCTTCAACCCACAAACCAGATCCAGCCCACAGAGCCATGTCATCTGGCCCCCAGAACTGCCCATGGAAGTTTGGTGGCAGGGCAGCAGTAGCAATTTTAATTGCTGCCCCACTTCTACCAAACTTCTAGCTCTGTGGGAAGCCCTGAAGGCTGGATAACATAGCCCTGAATGCTATATTACTGCTCCACAAAGGAGCTGGCATAAGGGGTCGCTCCATGAATGTATGTGAATAGATCAGGCCATTTTGCAGAACTGCACCCATGTGCTGGCTCCACACCACTTAGCTAGCCTGTGGACTAGCCATGAGCTGGCAGAAACTGAAGTCAACCAAGTTACATCAGAGTAACACCAATGCAGGTTCAAACATAATCAGCCTTTGCTTTTACAACTGAGGGCTGAGAAGGATACACAACAGGGCTTATCAGTTCTGTCTCATTAATGAGAAGAGAGATTGTTCCTGAGTAAAGCACACCACCCTGTTTTCCCAGCAGTTCCAACACTTACTAGCTCAGTTAATGAAGATCTCTCCTACTTTTTGCTATGTTAATTATATTTATGTAACCTGCTTATTTTTACTACATAGAAATATTTGATAATGTAACAAGTGGTTGAGTCACTGCACACAGGCGAAGGAGAGACAGAGAGAATACCATTTGGTTATGGTGTCTGATACTTGCATCTTATTTTGTATCCTGCATAACCAGCAGATGGTAGAAGTACAGCTAATTAGGTCTCACATACATAACAAAGATGAACACTACCACTAGGTCTTCCCATAGTTTCCCGTAGCAGTTTTGTTTTTTATATTTATTTATTTGGGGATTTTTTGCATAGAGTGCAGGGGCCAAGAAAAATCGTTCTGATGGAGAAACTCTGTGTTTTTATGATATGCTAATACAAGTTTAATATACGGCTACAGATCAGAGTCAACAATATGCTCCAGCTGGTTTGCATTCCTCCAGAAAAACATAGCAGCCATAAACCTGGCTTTATAACTGCTGTGTTTTACCATAGGAAAACAAAACAGAGTACACTGGTGAATCTGGCACTATAAGCTTAGCCTGGGGCTGATTCATCACTCTGTTACTCTAATTTTATGCTGCTTAAACTTAATTGATTGCAGCATATCCATATTTGATATCTGTTGAGTTGCACGTGCCAAAAGCTGGAGCAATGCAGAAGTGAAGCAAGTTCAATGTTTCGGATAAGCAATAGAGACATCATTTCAAAGGCAACGTGGATTTTTTCACATTGCCTTTGAAATGATATGGCCCAGGCGACCAAGATGGCCTGCAGTACATCTTAAAAGATCTGTTAAAAACGTCATCTGCTATGCCTACCAGATCATGCCTTGGTTGAAGATCAGTCCCAGCACATTTCCACTTATATCAAACTCTGAGTAAGAAGGCTGAGGGGGGAAAAGACACAAATGCTTTAATTAGGCTTTTCAGAAAGGTCTTTAACTGACTTGGGAATAGACTGAAACTGGCATCTACAATACAGCATATTGGCAATGTCTTGTCAAGGCTCTTGTTGCATGTTAACAATGGTACATGAAACAAATGAATATGATTGAAGACCATTGTTCAGCTTTAAATAAAACCTGCAATTATAAGTCTTATTGAATTTGTGGAAGGGAAGGCACTGATGGAAAATATAAAAGGCATGAATACTCAGTTTGTTCTGATGACTGAAGAAGAGTGTAGAGCGAGACAAACTATGGCTGACACTTTCCAGCAGGGCATCCAGCAGCCCATAGAGGAAAATAGGGTTGTAAGGCACCCAACCTATAATTCCTCAAAGGTATCACAACAGTATTCCTGAACATATTTTTAACAAGGGACTCAAATTTAAGTTGTAAATTAGTGTCTGGAATTCTAAAGTTTGGATTGTTGTAAGTAGAATGTTCTTTTAAACTATTTTTGTATAAAAAGTACATATACAATACTGTTAGACATACTCCTCCCTCCCTCTCTGTGTATGTATGTATGTATGTATGTCTTTCTTCTGATGCAAAAGAATAATATCTGACCATTCAATTTCTCATTACTTCATGAGTAGGATTCAACAGAAGTAGAACATTATTTTATATTATCCCTTGATAGTATACATAGGGATCTCCATAAATCATGGAGGAAGTTCCCCTCCCCCCACCCCCCCCCAACCCAGTGACTCCTTTTTTTTCCATTTCACTGCTTGCACCCATGCCCTTGATTGGCAGAGGGGTCCCACTGGCTGGGCCATTTGCCACTGATCACCAGGGAAGCAAAAACCTTGGTTTTAAATATTCCATGCTTTTTGCCACCCTACTAGTCAGCGGCAAATGGCAGGACCACCAGGGCCTCTCTGCCAATCAGCAGTGGGGAGGCAAAAACTGCAGCATATGTAAGTCTAAGGTTTTCACTTCCCTAGTGATCAGTGGCAAATGACCCAGCCCCACCACCAATCAGGGGTGGGGGAGCAAGCAGCATAATGAAAAAAATTAAAGGAGTCACTGCAGGGGGTACTTCCTCCCTGATTTACAGAGATTCCCTAATTATACACTATCAAAGAGATTTTCCATTAAGTTTTGCTTTCTGATTCATTATGACTGATGATGAATCAAAAGGCAGAAAGAGCTCAGCTTGATTTTCATTTTAAAGATTGTCAGTAGGTCTGGCAGCATGAAAAATAACCAGGAAAAACCATCTGCTTGCATTTCCTAACTGTGTAAAGAATATGGAAGCTTAGGTTATCTTGGCTTTATAAGAGAAGGTTTGGACTGAGCAGCACCAAGTATCTAGATTACACTACTGAATCTGGCTCTTTAACCATGAACTTGCAAACAGAATGATTCTTTTGAAATAGGACCTTTCGTGTGATAATTATCGACTGAACATTAATTTGGCATCATCATCCAAAAAACAAATTGATGATGTTAAATAAATAATAATTAATAATGGAAAAAAGGGCATCTACTCGCTTGTATGTAAACATTCCACAATTTTGATATTTCGCCACTGATAACACATTTCTAAGAGAAGCCTATCAAGTGTCTATTTCTAAGTCCTTGTCAAAAGTATAACTCTGGGCATGCCTAGCCTTCTTAAATGAGGGGGAAAAAGTTTTTTACATAGTGTTTGGGTCTACATGTGCAATTAATGTGAAGCAATAAACTCCAGAGCAGTTTGAGTGAGAGTAAACTACTCCTGGGCGCAGCATCTACATGTGCACGTGGGACAGCAGGACTTTGAGCTGGGATGGAGCAGGCCCAGACTAGCAAGGGACACAGGAGATCAGCCCCAGGCTCTGGGTGGCAGCATCTGGCGGTGGAGGGGCTGGCTGGGGCACAAAGATGCTTAAAGTGTAGAGCTGTATGGCTAGGAAGCAGGCATAAGTCCGGCCCCAGTCTAGCTGGGCTGACCAGGCACAATTTGTGTCCACAGTCCATGCCCACACATGCATTTAATTGTAGTAAATTACCCCGGCATAAGATAGTACTGTGCCCAACAGTACTACCTTATGTTGGCCTAAATTAATTTACTGAAGCCTAATACTGTCATGCATGTAGATGCTGACACTTTACTTCACAGGTAATTAGTCTACTTGGCAGTAAAGCTCATATATAGATGTGGCCAATGTAGCCCTTTGTGGTCAACATGCCCCAGCCAGCCCCAGTCACCATCTGCACATTCAGTGCAGTGGAGGAAATAACTCTGCCATAGAATAGTACTTGTGTTGGTCAGTACTATCCTATGGCAGAGTTAATTAGTTTACTCCAGCCTAATATCATTGCTCAGGTAGACAGCGGCACTTTACTGCTGAGCTAATTAGGCAACTCCACAGTAAGTGGCTTGTGTAGATGCACCCCTTATTTCTCTCTCTCTTGCTCACTCTCTACCTCCCATACTTACACGCAGAGCAAACAAGGGTTTGGCCCTAAACCTTCAAAATTCCCTGACCATTTATTCTGGATAAGTATCCTAGTCATATCATCCAGAAATCTGGAATGGTGTTACGTTTTTTGGTAATGATGATGAGCTCCTTAGTGATATTAATCTTTGCGCTGGTTGCCTTTGGCTGGCTACAGAAACTGTCAGGAAATAAAGGGCATTTTTAAAAGCTTTTTTGCCCCTAAATTCCACAATGTCATTTGCATTTCCTGCAGAGATTGATAAAGGGGGTCTTGACACACTGCTTCTCATCAAAGCAGTAAGATTTACAGCATATCAACTCCCATGATGTCTGCTGCCAGCATATGTAGATGAGATCCAGCTCTGCATCTTCTTCATACCAAAAACAAACACTATTGGCAACATCTATCCCAAGCCCTGTGAAAAATAAGCACCTTAATGAGGAACAGTGGCTGAAATGAAAACTCGGCAAGACAGACGTTTATATAGAAAAGCAAATGGATCAAGACTATAGCATTACCAATGGAAGAGGTCTGCCGACCAGTCATCAGACTGCACATCATCTTGGAGTCATACGGAATTCCCTCTGATGCTCTGGATCCCCTTAAGAGGACAGTGCTCAGATATGCCTTTTATTAACATTAGTAGCTAAAGAGATTGCATCTTAGTTATCTAAGTTTATCTGGTTACAATTCTCTTGTAACAGCCTCATTTGGCATGGATACTGGTGTTGACTGTGGCAAAACTGAATTATTCCAGGAGAAGATAAGGTCTTTTCAAGAGATGGTCAACAGACAGAATTCTTCTGCAAGAAAATTAGAATAGCAATACATCTTTCCTACTCTGCAACTTTTTCTGACTGATAAATCCAAACAAGGGCTTAGCTGAAAAGATACCTCCTTCATGCACACTTTCCTACCCTAAATTTGAGGAAAAAGGGGAGAGTGTAGCTTTACAAACTTGCTGTTTGCATTAGGCAGCTGTATGGGAGCACTCACCACTCTGGAATACTGTGTTGGCACATCCAGAGATGCATATTGTGGGAACGCGATTAGCTTGCAAGACAAGCTAAGGAACAGCTGCTACTGCAGTGAACAGAGGTTTATTTTCCAGTGAGGCTGAAATACAGGGTGCAAAGGAGCAAGATAAATAGAGTAAACAGAGACAAAAAGAAATCTGAGTAAAGATAATGTTTAAAGCTGTTGAGGGATTGTGAAGCTGTCAAATATTGCCTTCCATGAATTTGAGTGGCTTGAGAAGGAAATAAATTACATAAACATGTCAAGTAATAACCTGACAATAACTTTTTAAAAAGCAAATGAAGTACTTACAAATCCATATTCTAAGTCCCAGCACCAGCAGTAATTGAAGAACCTGACAAAGACAGCTCTCAGGAAATCGCCAATTAAAATCGTGATGTACGTCGTCACCGTGTCAGAGACTGTCAGTCGCACAAATTCCTGTTGACACAACTTTCTCTGAATAAGATGTTTAGGCTAATAACAGTAACAAACATTGGGCTAGATTTCCTGATGAGCTCAGCACATGATAGCAAGGAGAAGAGCTTTCTGTCCCCTTTCAACTCCTAAATGACCCTGGGGCTTGGCCCAAATTTGCTAGTGGCATGTTAGAGCAGTCCTCAGACTGCTCTAATTCTGCTGATGATAACAGTCTCCTAAGTGACCATGTTACCAGCCAGGATTGCCAGGCTGTAATCCCACATCCACTCTGGGATGCCAACTATGCTAGAGGCTGAGGTGGAGGGGTGTTGCAACAAAGCAATTATTTACTGGTTCTTTATGATTCCTTTCATCTGGACATTATAACGTTTCAAAAATGTGTAGTTTTCACCACCACTAATTTCCCTCCCCCTGTTATTATAGGAGCCATTGAAAGATAGAAATTGGGGAAAGAGAATTTCTAACATGAATATGCCCCTCTGCAGATCCTTCTAAACACCCTGCCATGCACTGACCCACTCTACCTTCAGTTTTGGTCATATTATTATGGTGATCAGAAAGTCTGTTATTCTATCCCTCTTGTCTCAAGCTGAATTAAAATATTTGAGGAATACACAATGGATTCTGGTGTTCATATCTTGTCAAGAAGCACCCATGGGTACAGCAGAGGGACTGCTGTGTTGCTGTTTTTTCCCAGTCTGCCTCCTGCTGGTGACCTCTTTAAAAGATTTTGGAAAAGGCTATCCAATAAAGATCCTGATAACCAGCAAGGAAAAATCACAGTGTAAATGGAGCATCAGAGCTGAGGAAGTCATAGACAATTTGGTCTTGGGAAGGAAAAAGGCTGGAAGTTCAGAAAGACAAGCAAAACTGGTATAAAGGAGGCAAAGGAACAGTTGAGGACATCAAAGAGAGCCACATAGGACCAGGGTCATTTAGATAAAGAAGAATATTCAAGTGAATGAAGCAAAAATATGAAGTATATTCATCACTAAAAGGCTTTGCTTGAAACTGCACACCAGTAGGCCTTATAGTTGAAAATGCAGTGGAAATGAGTACTCAAGTGCACAGCAATGACTACCGATGATTTTGTGAGTCTTGCCTTGTTGAGCTACTTTTTTTTTATTTACCTTTGGTATGATCGCTTTGCAGTCGTAACTTAATCTTGCCTATCAAAACTCCATGCAAAATTACTTCACTCATCTATCACTTGCTCAATCCACCACCTTTCATAAATGTTAAATGTACAGGATAAAGGACATAGAAAGGAAATTATTCCAATCATGGCGGACTACAGGGCAAGAGATTTGAGGACCTAGTGTAGGTCTCAGAGAAAAAGTAAGTATTTCTCAGTCCATTAGTTTAGTGGCATAGCATCTATTCTCTCTGCTCCTTCCCCACATCTTTTCCTACGTTAGGAAAATGTCAGGTGTCAGTAGAAGCACAGTGATGATATAAAGTCTCGGCAGTAGAAACAAAGAGGTAATGATGTAAAGCCTTGTGAGTGATCCACTACAGTCATTTTCCCAAAGTTAGTCTAAATATGTATCTCCTTACCTGCCCTACCATTGTTTCCCAACATGGTCCTCGAGGAACATCTGCAGGATCCACCTGTATTGGAGGAGCTGTGGCATTCTCTGGGATTGTACCATTGTAGAGGCTGGCTTCCCATATTGTCATATTATATCTCACTATTTTCTCTTCTTCGAGCTAGAAGTATATTTTTAATAAACAACAGATACAATTGGTATGGGGTTATTTTTGTATGGGAACAGCTGGGAACCACTAACACCTTCTTGACCCTGAAGAACCTCCCTCCCTAGCCAGAACCCCATCCTGTTTAGCAATATGGAAAAAACAGGGACTTGTTACATGTTGTACTCTGATCTGCTCAAATGTTGATTGGTGTTAGGGCTAGCTCAAGTTTGAAGCAGTCACAACTTAAGGCTAAGAGATTTCTTGACTCTCTCCCAACTGCACAGCTGTGACTTGCCACTACAGTCCTGCCAAACAGGGTCTGACTAAGAGCTACAGATCTGAGTTGCCACTATAGGGCTGGTGATCCAGGACAGGCTTCTTTCCATACTCGAGGTAGGGGATGTGAGTGATGGGTTGAGGGGCAGGAACATGAAGCTGGGAGGCAGAGAGTTACTGGGATGGGGGTGGGTAATGAAATGGGAAGTGGAATGGAAGTCAGGGTGGTGAAAAGAAGGAAGACAGCCACTGAAAGATAAAACAAAAATAAGTTTTAAAAAGTATGTAAAAAGAAATAAAGAGGGAGTAGATTAAAGGAGGTCTTATGTTTTAATAAATTGTGATTTGGGATTGGGCTGTGAGGAGTGCTGTTCATGCTTCCTAGGGTGGCTGAGATATGGAAGCTGTGAGGGAATGTGCTTTTAGAGGAGCTATGGCCCCTTCCCTGGGAAAAAAAAACCCAGCTCATGGGGACACAAAGCAGCCTCCTGCCTTTTTTCCCCTCTCACCACTCTCGCTCCCTAGACCCCATTCCTGGACCCATCTGTGACCTGCAGTCTGGCTAGCTGACATGTGGTCTGCAGACTGTTTGCATGGGGTTGCACCCCTGAGGTAGGAAAATCACACCCTGGGATGGGGGGGGGGGCATGAAGGGGAGTTGGCTTGGTGCCAGAACCACCCTCTGGGCAGTAGAGTTCAGGGGATGAACAATTTATCCACAAAGAAAAGGAGGGTGAGGAGAGGGAACACTGCAGCCTGGGATACTAGAGGACTGCAACTCAGGCCATTCATCCATGGGGAGTGGCCACACATTAATGGAACACAAGCTGCGTAACATGGATCAAAAATAAATTTTCCCTGGAGTGCTGTAACTTTAAGCTGCCTAAAGTGCACTTAAAATGTGCTTCAGGTGTTAATGTGTAGACAATCCAGGAGTTAAGAGCTCCAGGAGCTGCCTAAAATTAATGTGTAACAAGGCCCACAGTGCAGTCTCCTGCTCCCTGCCTCCACCCCAGTCCCCTGTTCCTATCCCTGTCCTCCACTCCAATTCAAAACCTCACTGGAGAGAACAAACCCAGTTTGGCAACCCTTGTCTTAAGTTATTAACAATTTTAAAATAGATATTCAATACTGATGAGAGATTCCCACTAAGTAGCTTGCCTTGAGGTTAATATCATCCATGAGGGCAATAATGAACGTATACAGATTGCCTAAGAAGAGAGCAAAGATGCGTCCCAGCTGCCATCTGAGAGCTATTCGTGGGTGGTAGTTTTCCAGAGAACTGATGACATCAAATAAAGTTGGACAGAACATGCCCAAGAGGGACATGACCATGTTCACCTGCAAAGATTCACACACAAGAACATCAGACACTTTGGCTTTCCCCTGACATTTTAGCTAGTATTTCACATAGTACACTAAAAAAGCATGAAGGTGAAAAATAAGTGGTGATCTACTGTGAAAAAATAATAAGGGATTCCTTTTTTCTTAATCACTAGCACTGGAAAGAATAATCAAACATTGGTATCTTTATTCCAGTTATAAAATCTACTACCAACTCAGAGGGATTTTCATGTATTTCAGATATTATTTCACATCTAAACTGTAATGCCTTTTGCATGTTTTTGATAATGAGTTCCCAAAGAGCCCTGAGTGAAACAAAGAGAAGTACTGTTAGAACAGTGCACCACTAAATAAAATGTAGTTGAGGATCTGGGGCCTTACATGAATCCTGGAATATCTTTAAATGATTGTCAACACTGCATGTGCAAACAAATCTGATATTTCTTTTATATCTCTTGTTATTGGATCCTGTGTTTGTATTAACTCATTTTGTCCAAGAATAGAAAGATACCCAGCTCTATTAACTATCTTGAACTTCAATAAGGATTATGTATTCCACAGAATGAATGGAACCGCTCATAATTTGTTGCTGAAGTATAGGCAAAACCAGTTTTGTTTTGTTTTGTTTTGTTTTGTTTTGTTATGTTTGTTTGACTTCTTTCTTATATATATATCTTGCAGAGAACTCAGAAATTTGGAATGATAATTTTATTCATTGAAAGATGCAGCTTTGGGTCAACTGAGACTAGTAGTGATTTTGTGCCAAATTCAGTGACTCATTTTTGCCAAACTTTGAAAATTCTAAATGATTTTTTTTTAATTTTAAAATAAACTTTCATTTTTTAAATTACCTAAATATTTTTTTAAGACACAAATAACTTTGAAAGTACAATCAAGTGCTTGGTTTTGGAGTGAATTAAACATTTTAATTGAAAACCAAACAAAATTAATTTTAGGATGCCACAAAGAAAAACAATCCACCAGTATTGTCTTTCTTTTTTGGTTGTTGGTAACAAATAAATAAATTGAAAAAAAAAGAGGAGTGAAAGATCAGTTATCTGTGCAGATCTCATCTGAGATTTCTCTGAGATTAATGCAAAGAGCCCAATCTTGCTAAAATTTACATAGATTTTTGTGTGTTTATCATATCCTTCTATCAAAAGGCCTCTGCCTTTGGATAGAAGGATATGATAAACACACAAAAATTTGTGTACGTTTTAGCAAGCTGAGTTTAGATGTCTGTACCTGTATCATTACACCAAAAAGGGACTATGCGGGTAAATAAAGTTGCCTACTTGTGAGTTTGAAAAGTCTGGTCTTTAGTCTGTCATAGAACTTAATCAGCAGGATCGGTGTTCAGAACTGTAAGAAATACATGGCTTTCCTATTTTCTGCTATCCTATTTTTAGATTTTAATGAGTTCTAGTGCTAATTACTGGGTTTTTATATTTATAGACAACCAGTAGCACATTTTGTACATGGGTAGTAGCACTGTGTAAGCTCTAAGAATAGCTGGATATTTTATCATTATAGAAATTCAATATTGTTTCCTATGAGTATAGAGAGGTGTAAATTATTGCTAGAATTAGTTGTTAGAATAACAACAATAAATTACGTGTTTGTTAAAATTCAAGGAATAAAACAACATGTAGCTACCATCCCTTGCAGCATCTGGCTTTAATAACTGAAAGAGGCAGTATCTATTTGTGTCTCCCTATGCCCTTGACCTTATTATTTTAACAGCTGATGGTTTTTATACAGTCATCTTCTGGCAATGCCTAATTTTTAAAGACATCCTGAACATTTGTTCCTTTTTATTTTTTTTTTTACTTACTATAAGATATCCCTCCATTTTATTGGTAAAATATTGCTGTTTAATATGCTTGTTATTTTACATCACAATACATTATCTTTAATATGTCTTGCATCCAAATATCTTCCAAATGCTTAACAACTCAGAGTCAGAATTGAACCGAGCAGTATTTCTGTGTGGGTGCATGTAAGCATGTATGTGTGTGCACACATAACATATGTAATATATAATGCATACAAATGTTTGCATAGACTTTGACCTATTGAAAGACGCAAGAATCACCACCCTAGTCCCAGTGGAGAAATACAAGATAGTTCAGGATCCCCGTGGCAAAAGAGTTCTAACAGGGTGGAGTTACACATTATACTTAGACCTTACTAAGGGCATTTAAAACATGCGCATCTGTCAGTTAAAGCTCATTAGCTTGTATTCAGCATGCTTTAAGCAGTTTCTCAGGAGAATCAAACCAGGGATCATCTCCTGGGTCTGGGACAGAAGTTGTATAAACTGGTTTGACCCAAATCAGTTAAGTCTGATATCACTCACCAGTGATATACAGCCAGCAATGCAATTTCATCCTAAAGCAAATACATTGCTTTAGAATGGAAAGGTGCATACTAAAGCAGCAGGGGACAACATTATTACTGTTCAAGAATGGAAGTGAAGAATATGATGAACAAGTGAAAATGCAAGGAGATTTATAGGTAGAGAGAAGGTCAACATTACAAGATTCAAAAAAGTTTGAAGAGGTTAACTATTTGAGATATTCAAAAAAATGAATTACAATGTGTTCATTGAACTGAATAATTTCATCAAAATATTACCTTCAGAAACCTACATTTGGGAAGTTTTCAGAGATCTAGTCTATGTATAGGGAGGAAACCAAGTTCCAGAACATTTACTGTGCTTCCCAGTCAGATCTGGATTGGATTCTTCCCTGCTCTTTACAACAGGAGTTGCTCCAGTGATTTAAGTAGCATTTCCATGACCTAAAAATGGGGTAACAGGGCACAACTACACTTGCAATTAGTATTCCTGAATAAATTCCAAAGTTGCACCAGAGTTTATTGTTCCAAGGCACATCTGGGACCACAGCATGTTGAACCAGGGCAGCACAGCCCTAGCCAGCAGGGAGTCTTAGGAGTCAGCCTGCCAGCTCAAAGCTGCTCTGACCCATCTCCTTGTGCTGCAGTAGAGCTGGATGGTGCATGACGGTGGTTCAGTGTGGGGTTAGTCGGCAGGTGTACTCCATCTACATGTGCATTGTGGTGGAGTAAATAACTCTGCCATAAGATAGCACTTGTGTCTGGCAGTACTGTCCTATGGTGAAGTTAATTAGCTTACTCCATCCTAACAGTGCCACACATGTAGACGCTGAGACATTTATTGCTGAGCTAATTAGGCAACTGAAGTAAAGTCTCATGTAGGCACACCTACAGAGTGCCAAATCAGGTGTTCTATTTCTAGATGGGGATGTGCAAGAATGACTTATTCCATAGCCATCCATCTAATTAGTGTGCATGCTAAAGCTGAAAACACAACCTTTCCTCTTTCTGAGAGATTAATTACTCTGGATAGCAAATCTTTTCATGGCACTCTGAAGGCTGGAAAATTACAGCCTTCACAAGCAGCCTTAATTTTTCCAGCTGCTAAGTGAGGTCATGAATCTGGTAAGTGGTGCTCTGACTTGCAGTTGAGTCTAAACATTAGACCCTAGCATGCTAGGCCATGTCAACACCAACAATGAATATTAAATGTTGATTACTTGCTGTTTAAATGATAAGTTCATTAAGAATAAACTGTTCCGTAAATAAAAATCAATCATTCAGTCCATTCAGAGTACACAAGTAATACGCTTGTCTAGAGGCATAATAAAGGTCTATTTTTCATGTAAACACAGTTCCATTTTTTCAGGTCATTAGAGTAAGAATGTTTATTTCATAGTAATAAAATCTATCTCAAGATTTCTAAAATTAAAACTGAAAATTGACTGTATAGCTCAATACCTTACATATAAAGTCAGCAGTCTATTCCATCTCCACTGCTAGGACCTGTTAATAAGTGACAGGGTATTTTTGGCAAAAAATCTATCTTCACCGTTTGAGCTTGCAAGGTCTAAAATGTAAAATCTATAACATTTTTGCTGCTGGAAAGATTTTTAACATACAAGATGTCCTCCTGTTTACAAATGTTATTAATTACTTTAATTTGGCTAAATAAGTCTATTTTCCTACCAGTTACTTATACTTTTACTACTTGGCTTCTGCTAAATAGCATTATTGCTTAGATAGTATGTTGAGCACCTTGTAGATACTGGAGAGATAGAGAAGGAAAATAAATTCATGAGTGTAATTCTCTTCCAGCAACATATTTTCTATAAAGTGATAATACCTGGTTCATAGTTAGCATCTTTCATTATTAGATTTCAAGCATTTCATAATGGAGGATATTACATTACCTCCATTTTACAGATGAGAAAACTGAGGCACAATGATGTAAGATGACATTTATACAAGTACTAAATAATTGCGCTGTAACCAGAATTACTGCACTGTAGCACTTGTATAAAAAAGTACTAAATGACTGCACAGTCAGCATCTTCTGTAGACATGACCGCTGATCCTTAGGCCAGTTCTGCACTGGCCCTGGGTTATGGCAATAGTAAATAATAACTTGGTTATTAGGCCTGTGCAAAGAAGCTAGTATTTGCTTCAGATTCAGATTCAGTCGATTCGGAGGACAGTGATTTGATTTGGTGATTTGAATCACCGTCCCGAATTGATTCAGCCAAATTTGATTCAGAGACTTGGCCACCACTGAATTGATTGAATCTCCAAATTGAACAGGCCTCATCCCCTGCCCACTCTCCCAGCTCCATCAATGGCTGCCCTGCCCAGCCCCAGCCTCCTGGCACTTTAAAAAAAAAAAAAAAGCTCCACACTCACTGGCTTCTGCCAGGTGGGAAAGGGGGAGGTGAGCCCTGCTACCCCCCACTGACCCATGCTGTGTGGGGGGATGCTCTGTTACGAGCCCCCAGAGGCCCCTACAGCCATTGCACCAGGACGCTGGGGCCGGGCAGGGCAGCCATTGATGGGGCTGGGAGAGTGGGCAGGGGTTAGGGAGTGCTCAGGGGAAGCAGAGGGAACAGACAGGTGATGGGGCTGGTGGGGGTCCTTGCATGGTC